CCTTCTCTCCTCTCCTCTGGTCTTCTCAGCCCCAGCTCTTTCCCTGCTAGTTTCCAGAGTTTCCTTCAGTCGGAGGCGCTGGAGTTTTTCTGCACTCACTGTCATAAGCAGATCAGTCGTCTGGAGGATCTGTCCACGCGACTGCAGTGGCTAGAGATGAATAGGTAACGCACCCGCAGCATGTGCACGCCTCCCCTGCATGTGTGTTGAGTTTGGCCACTGTACACACACACTGTCACTGTCTGCATGTGTGTGCTTCAAGAACTTGCAGACATCTATACAGTGTCACATGACTCGTGTTGGTTTTGATGTGAAGGCTCAGTGTTTGTACATTCTGTAGATGAAGTTTGAGGTGAACATAAATGCTCTGCTGTTGATGCTGTGGTGTGTGTTGTGTGTGTATTTGATGCATGCACGATAGTCTTGAAGTGCTTTTTAGGTAAATATTTTCAAAATAATACAGGCTACATAATACAAATATAACTAGGCAGTGTTGATAGCTTAAAACACATAGGTAAGCACATTTCTTAAAGAGACGGAAGCTTAAAAATTACAATCCTTTCATCATTTACTCACCCTCATGTAGTTCTAAACCTATATGATTGTATTTATTTATTTTACAACACCATTGCATAGACAAGAAAAGCTCAAAAATCTCAGTTTTTATTTTATTAATTCATAAGGTTTTAGAATGACATGAGTTTTCATTATTGGGTGTACTGTACCTTTAAGAACTGTATAACATTTTGTTACTATTCTACCTGGGTATGCATTAAATATTCAATAGTCAGTTTTTCCAAAACAGAGTAAGAAAATGAGCCTAGGAAACATAATTTATCCAACTTTAATTTAACATATTAATATATGGTATTTTGTTTAAAAGATCATGGAAAGCCTGGCTTGTCCTAAGCGGCAGTAGGGAACAGTGATGAGGGTGTTTTTTTGACTATGAAGAGAATAGACAAAGCTGTTTCTCTTGGTTCAGACTTGCGCAACAGGAACAGAATCTCCTTTCATGCATCCATGTTACACCTCCATAAATACAGTGCTTATTTCCGTGTACCGTGAGGTCATTACCATTGAAAGAAGAGCATTGATTCAGCATTCAACCTGCAGAAAGAGCTGACGGCCCCAAACTTCAGCGCTTCGCTGGGTGTTTTTTGACCTGCGGTTCACAGGTCACGGATGGAAAGAGAGTTTTTCCTCTTTGCCGTTCTTTCTTCCTGACCCTTTTCCTGTTTGTGCTCTCTCTTATAGTTCCAGCAAGAGGCTGTCCAGTAAGAAAGCAGCAAGGTGAGATCCTCCCTCTCAATGCACCAAACGTCAGTTTTAAGGACAAAACGACAATGGGAAACTTTTGTGATGTGTTGCATGTCATTTTGGATGTTTTTTTCTTGTTTTCAGCAAAAACTCACTTAGGTTTTGATAAAAATTTTTTTAGAAAACTTAAGTAATTTTGCTTGCAAAATTAACAAGACTTTATATCTTGCAAATTTTGCAAGTAAATGTATTTTCAATTAAGAATGTTTAGAAAACTAAGACAAAAGTACAGAGGAGGAACATCATTTTTTGCAGTGTTATTAGTCAACTATGTCTAAGTTTGCTGCTCCAGCAGCAAGAAAAAAACCAGTCTGGACCAGCATGGAAATTCATGCTGGTTTCCAGTTCAGCAGGGAACATGTTGAAATGTTTGCGTGTGTTTTTCAGACACTTGCAGCAGTCTGGCACTCTGGATGTCATGGGAGATCTGACTCGAGACATCTTGGACCTTCCGGATCGTGACATCACAGACAAGGTTCGGAAACTAATATAGAAATTTTGCATCAAACTGGTTCAAATCGTGCATTTGATGTGAATTAGGTTGTTAGTTTTGTCATCAAAGGGCAAAAATGTAACTAAAATATTAATAAAAAGTTAATATTACCATGATACAATATATTTCTACCTTGATTTATATAACTCTTTATACAATACAGATTATTTCAAATCAGCCTCACAGTAATAAACAGGAAAATAACACAATCAATGATGCAAACCTTTTCAAATATTAGACAAATTCTAATTCTGCTGTCATTATTCAGCTTAAGTCAGTTCAATGTTGATTCAATTCAGTTCAATAACTGTGTAAAGTTCAATGATTATGAAACAAGCTCAATTCAGCTATAAGTATCTCTACAGAAGGCAATAGTGTATATGCTGAGTCAATTCAGTTAAATAATAGTGCTTATGTTGCAAAAGTAATCACTTAAATTTTTTTCTGCTATATTTGCAGTTTCTGTGCCTCAGAAATTATACATTTAAATTATTTTAGCAACGTTTATTAAATTAAAACTAGGTTTTTAATATGCAGTAACAGCTGGATATTATGTCAGTTTAAATTCATAAAGACGCTTTTGTTGGAATATGATTTCATTCAAAGCAAAACGTTACTGGTGGATTAGTAAATTATGATCGATTTCAACAGATGATTGCAAGATTATCTTTCTATTTTGACAAACCTTCATTCATGTTTCCAGCTGGATAGTGTTACCTTTGTGGCATTTAAATTAGCTCAATTTGCAACAACAATATTCAATTTAAAACAAATAAAAAACCCATTAAGCAATTCACTCATAAAGCAGTTCTGAAGAAGACAATTGTGTCATTATTCATCTCATCTCAGTTCAGTTCAAGTTGTGTTTTCATCTGATAGTGACAGTGCAGTCAAAAATGCACACATGACATGGACGGAATAGAAAAACGGATAGTTTTGTGAAAGCATGAGGAACGAAGGCTGTGTCTGTCCTGCAGGTGTTGCTGTTGGAGAAGCGTGTGTGCGAGCTGGAGAAGGACTCGTTGGAGAGCGAAGAGCAGCATGCGCGCCTGCGGCAGGAGAACCTCACTCTCGTCCACCGCGCAAACGCTCTGGAGGAACAGCTGAAGGAGCAGGAGCTGCACTCGGAGGAGAACTTACTCACGCAGACCCGTAAACACAGAGATGCTCTGAACAAACTCCAGCGAGAGAGAGACCTGGAGATCGAGAACCTCCAGGCCAGGTGAGGGCGGACAGAATATATCTTTAATGATTAATGTAGAATGGCATTTTGAGAAATTTCGCTGTGGGCGACCAACAACGTTTTAGCAGTTGAAGTCTAGTCTGGACACAATTGCTTTGATTGCAACGGGCTTGTCAGGGTTAAACAACAAGATTTTTTTTTTCTGCTTTGCACTTTCCCTGACACAAAAATTATACATTTCAATTTTTGTACTTTTTTTTTTTAAGTTTATTTATGGTGTTTTATGCCTTTATTTAGTTAGGACAGTATAGGTCGACAGGAAGTGAAGTGGGTGAGAGAGAGGGGGATGGGATCGGGAAAGGTCCGCAAGCCGGGACTTGGAAGTCTTGACACCCAAAAACGCAATGGCGCTGTATGTCGGCGCGCTGCCCACGAGGCCATCGGCGTCGACCATTTCAATTATTTTTAACATGGATTTATATATGTACCAGAAAAATATTTGTTAAATTATATTTTTTAGGTTTTTAATATGCAATAACAGATTAGATATTATGACTGTTTAAATTCACAAAAACACTTTAGCTGGAATATGTCACATGAAGCAAAATGTTTCTGGTGGGTTAGTAATTTTTGACCCATTTTAACAGATGATTCCAAGATTATAATTTTCTTTTAATTTTGACAAATCTTCATTTATATTATCCAGTTATATAATGTTACTTTTTAAACAATTTGGAACAACGATATTCAATTAAAAAAACAATGTTTAAATCAAGTGAATGCAGAGACTTGCTTGCTTGTGGGCTGTGTATGTCATGAGTCTTGCATCATATACTGTTAAGCACATTTGGAGAGGTGTAATTTTATTAACAGTCCTCCTGAGAAGGTCTTTAGCTCAGGTAACGCATCTTCAGTGTCTTATAATAGTCGAGAAATATGAAGACATGCATCATATGCAGCAAATACTATTTCTCACGGTTCATATATTCCAGGATGATTATAGTGTTGTTATTGTTAACTAAAACTATTAAAAATGTTTGTGTTAATTGAAATAAAGCCTTGGCAACTAACTGAGTTCTAAAATTACTGAAACTAAAATTGAAAAAAAAATAATAATAAAAAATCAATTAAAGCTACATAGAAATATTTATTTAAAAACATAAAATTACTAAAACTTTGAAATTAAGTCCAATTAAAAATTTTAATGCAATAATACTATATAAATAATACTTAAAATAACACTACAGTTAAGAGCTTTAATCTGTTATTTTGTCTAGTTTTTTCTGTGTGGATAAAATGTGTCTGCCATCTAGTGGAGAACTGCAGAAATTAAAGGAGCTCTGAGATTACTTGGCTCAGCATTTAATATAATCCGGCTGTGTTAACATGACTTTTTTTTTTCTATAACCCAGTATTGTTTTTGAATGTTTTCATTGTGCACTCTGCCCAAAAAGAAAATATCATTGTGCATTTTTGTCTGTGTGTTCAGGTTGCATCAGTTGGATGAGGAGAACAGTGAGCTGAGGTCATGTGTTCCCTGTCTAAGAGCCAACATCGAGAGGCTGGAGGAGGTACCAACACACGCAGAGTCTCATACACATCTGTAGATTACATACGAAGTCCAAAATGACCTGTTTGTCACATCTGCCAATGATGAGTGAATTAAGAATGGTTATTGACTATCAAACCTATTTTTACATTATTTTGATTCGTTATTTTAGTCACGTTTTACTCTTATTTGTTGCCGAATGTCCAAAAGAAAGTCCAAACGGTCTCTCAGATGGAGTCATTTTTGCAGGAAAAGAGGAAACTTCAGGATGAGGTGGACGACGTCACAGATCGATTGAACGAAGAAATCGAATCTCGCAGGAAAATGGCCGACAAACTGAGTCATGAACGTCATACGAACCAGAAAGAGAAGGAGTGCACTCAGGGGGTGAGAGGTCTTCTGTTTGGCTTTATAGCTGGGGTCACATGGTTGTTCATCTCTGTTAATGGCTTCTCTGTGTGTGTAGTTGATAGAGGACTTGAGAAAGCAGCTAGAACACCTGCAGCTGTTTAAGTTGGAGACTGAAGTGAGAAGAGGCAGATCGGCCAGCTCCGGCCTGCAGGAATACAACACTCACATGAGAGAGAATGAACTGGAGCAGGAGATACGCAGACTCAAACAGGTACAAACACACTCAAACTGGTAAGAACTGACTTAAACTGGTCAACACAGACTCAAACACAGACAAGACATGGGGCAAGAACAGACTCAAAACGGTAAAGACTGAGTCTTGAAACAACAAACCCTAAAGGCTCAAACAGGTAAAGAGACTCAAATTAGCCAACACAGTCTAAAAAAAACAGGTAAAGACCGACCCAGGACTCAAACTGGTAAACAGACTTAAATTTATTCAATTAAATTAGTCAACACAGACTGAAAAAAACAGATAACTACACACCTAGGACTCAAACTGGTAAACTCAGGCTGGTTAACACAGACCCAAAAGACTGAGATAGGTAAACAGACTTAAATTAGTCAACACACAATCTAAAAAACACATAAAGACAGACACAGGACTCAAAGTGGTAAACTCAGACTGGTTAACACAGACCCAAAAGACTCAAACAGGTAAACAAACTCAAATTAGTCAACACAGACTGATAACGACAGACCCAAGACTCAAACAGGTCAAATATCTCTGCTGTGGTTCTGTCTCTGTGTACAGGATAACCGCAGTCTGAAGGAGCAGAACGACGAGCTGAATGGGCAGATCATTAATCTGAGCATCCAGGGAGCAAAGAGCCTGTTTACCGAGTCTCTGTCCGAGTCACTCGCCGCCGAGATCAACAGTGTGTCTCGCACTGAGGTCAGTATTACACTATTGTGCTTATTTATGCTTTTGATATGAACACTTTGTGATATTTAATGTGTGTGTGAGCAGCTGATGGAGGCCGTCCACAAACAGGAGGAGATCAACTTCTGTCTGCAGGACTACATCGACCGCATCATCGTCGCCATCATGGAGTGCAACCCCTCCATCCTGGAGGTCAAATAATCACCATGGCGACGACCCTACCTGATTTATGAACTGAAACAGGAGGCGAGAGGCGTAAAGAGCAGAACTGGAGATGATGTGAAGAATCCAATCATTATGTTGATCAAATAATTTAATCATTCAGAGCACTGTTTGTTGTATGTGTGTGTGTGTGCGTGTGTGTGTTTGTATGTGTGTGTGTGTGTGTGTGTGTGTGAATGGCCCCGTCCTTCGGTTCCTGTGACTTCCCTGTGTTTTGGGATTGAGGCGCCCATTCCCTCTGTATATCTGTGTTCACAATTCATGGATTGAATTTCAGTATAAGAAACTTGTTTGTTTTAAGTTACCAGTGTAAGTCTGGTTTAACCGTCACACCGTTAGCCCATGTGAGGGACATTTGCTGGCCTGAGGGTTGAGCGTGTGCGTACGATTTTGCTCGTAAACGAGTTTTTGCTGAATGTTACTGCTGTTTTCTTTCAATTCTTATTTATTACGATGATGCAGAACGCAAAGGATCAGGGGAGACTGACACCCACCAAGGGAGTTCGCAGTGTTGCATTGTGGGTAAGGTCATCGGTCCTGTGCGATTTCTTGCTGAGAATATTCGTCTGCCGCCTCCTGTCGGACTTTGATTTTCTGTACAAAAGACTCACTGGAAATGTTCATTGCACTTCAAGTAATTTTATTTTGAGAAATTTCTGTTTGCTATTTAAATAGTTTGATAGATAAATAAGGTGAAGCTGTTTTATCAACGTTGGCGGGAAAAAGAAGCCGACACTGAAGCACTGAAGGGAATTCGAACCGTCAACAGAACACACGGGAAAAGGGACTTTTGCTTCATTTCTGCATTTCAGAACTCTTTATGTCGCTCTCTGATGAATTTGGGTGTAAATATTGATCTAGAACGTTTGGTTCTTGGAAACGTATTTTTATGGACAAAAGGAAATAAGATTAAGTTTCATTTTGTCTTCCACTTGACTGATCTCTTTTCGTCTGATCCAGCGCGCCATTATGGATGTACATCCCTCTCATCCGGGACAAGCATGTTTGATTTTCACTTTCAACTTTTTTTGGACCTGGAAAATCCAGTGGAAAATCTTAAATGAGTTTAAATGCCTTTGTTTTTGTTTTTTGGGATTGTGGAAAACCAGGCTGCAGTCCACATTTTTCTTTCCCCTCTCCTCTGACTTGCGTATTTCGTTAAGACCCGTCGATCAGTTCTTCTTATAGGACGATGCTGGATAACATTTGAGGACGATTCCGCTGCTGTCACGTCTGTATGGCTGTTTTAAAGCTACTGTAATGATACTGATGGACCTTAAAGCGCAGGAACGTTGCTTCTGTAAACTTGAATACCGACTCTCCTTCCTTCATTTCCTTCCAGAGACAATAAGGGAAGATCTGAATCTACTGCTCTTGATCTGTCTGATGTTAACAGCTGTTGTATATGATTTAAGATATATCAACACACATCTCCAGTGTCCAAAGACAACATTTCACCGCTTAGAAGGAGTTCTGCTTGCCACTTAGACTTTAAAAGACTAATAATAGTTATAAATACATGTTAATAAAAGAAAAAGGACTCCTCATAATGAAGGATACAATTGTAAAAAAATGATGTTTACTCTAATTGTTAAGATTGCTGTATAAATGAAAGATATCAGTATTGTCTTTTGTTGAATGTTTTGCTTTCTTTTGAAAATGCCCCCATAAGATGTATCTTTTACTGTTTGGGGGTCTTATAGATTTTCAAATAATTGTATGAAGGTTCAAAGAAAAATGAAAATAAAATTAGTCGCCAATAAATTAAGTGCAAAGAGGTTCTTTGTGGATGTTTCTTTTTTTTTATGCGTCATAAGCCTGAACATAAACACCAAACAAGAGCAGAATAGAATAGAATAGAATTGATCAGTGCGAATGCATGTCCTTACGGTATGGATAAACATAATCAGAGAAACAAGCCAACTTTTGGGCCTGTTCTACAACTTTTTGTACTTTTTGAGATTGAACAGCAAATAAATTAATGAAAATAAAATGCAAAGGCATTTGAAAAACCTGATGCAATCATTGAAATCCAACCCTGTTAACCCTTGACCTACTGTATGTTTTTTATCCACCGTATTTTGCAAAATAAAGTGCCATTTATGCTACAAACCAGTGTTCATGATTATGATTATAAATTAAATCAATATGACAACAAATATAATTTTGTAATATCAAGTAGCATAACGGGCTGTTTTTGTACAGGTAAAATAACTGGAAGTGAATGACACCAGAAGTCTTTTATTATATTATTAAGATACAAATGGCAGTGCCTGTTATTACCTTAAAATGACAGACAACTGAGAGGCCACACAGCATTTGACCACTGGATTAACAAAAACCATTTCAGTTTCTTTTCTCAACATTTCAACACTGCATCAACTACCGATGAACACATTCATTTTTATTTGAATTATCTTAATTTAAATTAAATGATAATATTTTTGATTAAGTGTGTTATTTTGATTGTTGTTATTTTAAAATGATTTATTTTCATTTTCAATTTTTGTGATTTAATTATCAGCTTTCCATTAAACTAACAAACCCCCTGCAGTTCCTCCAGGAGCCCCAGTTTGGGAAACCTTGACGTAAAGTAACGTTTAGTGCACTTCATAATATTAATAACAAGAAATCGAATATATTTTCTTTGCATTTTTATATCAATCTGGTACGATATTATCCTATTTAAATCAATATGATAAACGAGTTAGGTCAAAAGTAATCAGAAAGTACTCTGATTATATTACCTAAAATGTGAAATGTAATGGATTACGTTACTAACTACATTTTTTGTCATGTAATTTGAAATCAGTAGCGGATTACAATCTTCAAGTAATCTTCCCAGCTCTGCTGATATAGGTGATATTATTAAAATGTTGATATTCATATAATATTATCAGTATGCTGTTTGTTCACACGTAGAAATGAAAAGGGAATTATTTTTAACAGTTTTTGGAGGGCACAAATGCTTTTATAATGATTAACTAACTTATTCCTGATGAACCTAGTAAATTAATTAATAAAAAAGTGATTAACAAAGAACAAGCCTGAGAAGGGTAGCGTGTTCTGTAGCGCCGTCTAGTGAACTGTTATGGAATGGTTATGATAGGAACCTTTGTTCAGACGATCTGCTTCTACACGGACACGTATTAGAGCGCAATCACATGGAGTTGTGTCAACACGACTGATGCTGCCAGTTATTTAATGTTTTATCATCACGGAATGACTTTAAAACTATAACCAAGTTAAGTACGTTTGCTATATAATCACTTACATACATTAACGTTACGGTATTCATATAGTATATATATGGTTATCCTATGAGGTTTGTAGTTATGCAGCTCTGATACGATCCTGTAAATCAATAATTGCATCTAATTTATTAACCTCTTAACTGTCACCCGTCCCCTCGGTGGGACACCTACGTTTATTTCACTATATTACAATTAAATCCTAATCTAATCATGACAAACTTTATATCGTTGGAAAGGTCTAAGACTTCCAAATAAATGTTTTTTTGTTTAAAAAATTATGTAGGAAAAGTAATTTATTACAAGAGTGCATCTCAAAAATCTACATCATAACAGGAGTTCTGACCTTTGTAGCAAAAAGTCTTCTTCGTTGCCTTTTTCTCTATCACACTTTAGAAATCATCAGAAATTATATATCAATTGAAAACTTAAAATCTCAAAATGCATCCTTTGAAACCCATTTTAAAATCAGACATTGCATTACCATGAAAATGGTACATCAAAATCATGTTACAAAATGTTTTTATTCATGAATTATAAAAATTAAAGTTTGGAATAGTGCACTCTATGTTCAAAAATGTGAGTTGACAGTTAAGGGGTTCATTTAAATGATTATATGTCGTATGTGACCCGCATATGACAAGCCTCGTCCAACTGCCGAATGTATTCAGTGATATTTTAATATTATGTTGCAGAAGTGATGCTGCATTAAACTGGATCTTCAGCCAAGCATCGGTTTCCGTGACGTCATGGGGTCCGCCGGTACCGAGGAGCCGGTGCGGCTGCAGGTAGACTTGTGCTTGAGGACTCTCTCCGCCTCACGAGACCCCGGGGAGATCGTGCACGCGCTGCGCACACTCACGCGCAACCTGGAGGACGGCGAGTTCAAGCGCCTTCACTACACACACGCAATTCAGGTGTTGGTGAGCGCGCACTGCTTCGGCGGGTCGTGTGATGATGAGGAGATCAAGAAGCTCTGGTGTGAGATGTTCCTCAGGGGTCCACCGGACCAAACACTGCTGCTTCTGCTGGACACCATCAGCTCCACAGGGTATGACATCAATATCTATCTATCTTATCTATCTATCTATCTATCTATCTATCTATCTATCTGTTATGTCAGTGCTGTACTAATGATGTGTTGTGTCTCTTGCACACACAGAGAGTGTGCGGCTCTGGAGCGATGCATGTCTGTACTGGAGAAGTTCAAAATTAAAGTTTGGAATAGTGCACTCTATGTTCAAAAATGTGAGTTGACAGTTAAGGGGTTCATTTAAATGATTATATGTCGTATGTGACCCGCATATGACAAGCCTCGTCCAACTGCCGAATGTATTCAGTGATATTTTAATATTATGTTGCAGAAGTGATGCTGCATTAAACTGGATCTTCAGCCAAGCATCGGTTTCCGTGACGTCATGGGGTCCGCCGGTACCGAGGAGCCGGTGCGGCTGCAGGTAGACTTGTGCTTGAGGACTCTCTCCGCCTCACGAGACCCCGGGGAGATCGTGCACGCGCTGCGCACACTCACGCGCAACCTGGAGGACGGCGAGTTCAAGCGCCTTCACTACACACACGCAATTCAGGTGTTGGTGAGCGCGCACTGCTTCGGCGGGTCGTGTGATGATGAGGAGATCAAGAAGCTCTGGTGTGAGATGTTCCTCAGGGGTCCACCGGACCAAACACTGCTGCTTCTGCTGGACACCATCAGCTCCACAGGGTATGACATCAATATCTATCTATCTTATCTATCTATCTATCTATCTGTTATGTCAGTGCTGTACTAATGATGTGTTGTGTCTCTTGCACACACAGAGAGTGTGCGGCTCTGGAGCAATGCATGTCTGTACTGGAGAAGTTCCTCTCTGCAGGTCGTCTCCAGGTGTTGTTGTGGTCCAGATGTGAGGTGGGCGGAGCCTGTTCAGACTCTCCCCAGCTAAGAGAGACCATCATTGGCCGCCTTGCAGCTTTACCCTCCATCACCTGCAACCATCTGCACACAGACACACCTGACGCCTTCTTACCACAGCAGTACTACCCACTGCTGGCCGCCAGCATGCTGGACTCCCTGGAGAAGACATGCTGCGCTCTCAGAGGTACACACATTCAGGGCTGAAATACTTGTAAATAAAGAAACCAACACATGCTTAAAACATCATTGCAACCACTACATATTTGAATGCATAATTGCAACCACCACATATGTAAAGCATCATGCAACCACTGCATATTTTAAAGCATGATTGCAAAGACTGCATATTTTAATGCATTGCTACAACCACTGCATATTTGTATCATCATAATCACTGCATATTTTAATGCATCATTGCAACGACTGCATATTTTAATGCATCATTGCAACGACTGTGTATTTTAATGCATTGATGCATCCACTGCATATTTTAATGCATCATTGCAACCACTGCTGCACATTTTAATGTATCATTGCAAACACTGTATATTTTACTGCATTACAACTACTTCATATATGAATGCATCATTGCAACCACATAATATTTTAATGTATAATTACAACCACTACATTCTTTAATGCATCATAACAGCCACTTTATATTTGCATGCATCATTACAACCACTGCATATTTTAATGCATCATTGCAACCACTGCATATTGTAATACATGATTGCAAAGACTACATATTTTAATGCATTGTTGCAACCACAGCATATTTTAATGCATTGTTACAACCACTGCATATTTGTATCATCATAATCACTGCATATTTTAATGCATCATTGCAACCACTGTGTATTTTAATGCATTGATGCACCTACTGCATAATTTAATGTATATTTGGTGTCCATCTGTCTTATTGTGCCTCGCTCACGTGTGTCTTTCTGGTATAGCGGGACAGGACTGCTCTCTTGGGTTTGTGGCTCAGGTTTTGGGAAAAGTGTGTATCCAAGGATACAGCTGTAAGTTTCATTTTTAAGTTACCAATGTAATTTCCTTCACTGATTGCAACCTGTCTGCTGCATTAGTATCTGTGTGTATTTCTATGTAGCTCAGATTTTTGAGACTCTGGCCCCCCGGCTCTCATCCCTGACCCGTGTGGACCCGCTGTGGCAGCGTGTGACGCAGAGACTGCTGGAGAAGGTTCCAGAAAGATGCACAGAGTGCGTCATCACAGGACTCATACGCAGCCTCAGTGGGTACGAGAGGAGGTTATTAACAGTAATGAATTCTTAATGAATGAATTGTTAGTTGACACGAGTGTGTGTTTCAGAGCGGCTGCTGTGTCCAGGCTGATGGGAAACCTGGTGGTGACCAATAAGAAAGCTCAGTTTGTTCTCACTCATAAACTGTTATTGCAGCAGTACCAGCACACAGTGAGTAATAACAACAATATAAATAACAACAAAATATTAACAACAAATAAGAATGTTACCTTTTACATTCTTTACTAAAAAGTAATATCTTAGTTTTTGGACACTGTAGTAATGGTAATACCGTCCTATTCTTTAAAATACTATAAAAATACCATGGTATAGGAATATTGTAATTATTCAAGACGTTGACATTTGCATCAAAATACCATTATAATTATCAGATACCATAAAAATTATTAAAGGATGACAAAATAAGAAAAATACATTCTCAATTTTTAAAGCATAACCTACACTGCTGTTAAAAACATAGTACACTTTTTTTGTTTTTGAAAGATGACTCTGCTCACCAAGGCTGCATTTATTTAATCAGAAATACAGTAAAAACAGTAATATTATGAAATATGATTACAATTTAAAATAACTGTTTTCAAATGTAATATATTTTAAAATGTAATTTATTCCTGTGATCAAAGCTGAATTTTCAGCATCATTACTCCATTCTTCAGTGTCACATGATCTTCAGAAAGCATTCTAATATGCTGATTTGAAACATTTCTGATTATTATCAATGTTGAAAACAGTTGTGCTGCTTCATTTTTTTGTGGAAACTGTGATGCATGTTTTTAAGGATTCTTTGATGAACAGAAAGTCCAAAAGAATATCATCTATTTGAATTGAAATTTTTTGTAACATTATAAATGTCTTTACTGTCACTTTTGATCAATTTAATGCAACCATGCTGAATAAAAGTATTGACTTTTTATTTTTCCTGTCTCTCTATGATCTCAGACTGCGTTGTTAAAGTCTGTTCTTGGTTATTTGGCTCTGGATTCAGAGCGTCGGACGCTGCTCAAACAGGTATGTTGATAGCTATTGTGTCAGTCGTTCTCATAAGTCATTTTTGCATGTAATGCAAAAGAAGTTGTTTAAGAGAAGTTCTAACTGATGTGTGTAGGTCCTTCGGAGTGTGTGTCAGGTGTGGTGTAACAGCAGTGCCGTCAAACACACGTCTGTCGAACAGCAGCTGTACGTCAGTAAAGCTTTGCTGCTGTGTGTGGCTTTACTCAGCCATTCTGAAATACAAGAACTACGACAAGGTAATGCACACGCATACATTCAAATGTGCAGCTTTTTTCCTTATTTAATTTATGTACAGCTGCATACATTTTTCTGGTGTATTATGAGGTTTCCTGTCCTACAGAGATGTTTCAGTGCATGCTGGGAGGTGTCCAGTGTCGTCTAGACAGCAGTATCGAGCGTATTCGTCGGATGGGTATGATCGTGGGCGAGTGTCTCAGTCACAAATTAGACACACCAGGATCACAATTAAAATTCCAGGTTAGCAAGATGAAAGCATCTTGCATATTGCAAAAGTTACAGATGTGCTCATCACATGTTTCATTCCTTGACTCTCAATGCTAATTAAGCATTGTCATGTTTTTATGTGTCAGTATGAGGCGGATGAGGAGACCAGAGAGCTGAAGTCATTAATGGAGTCTCCATCTGTTGAGGATGAGGATGATGAACAACAGCGGCCTGATACCTCCACTAGGTAAAATACACACTTCATGTCATTATTCTGTTTACCATATTTTCCGGTATATACGTTTTTTTTTTAATCATCTGAAACATGCTGCAGCTTATATTCCAAAACAACTTATGTAATGCAATTAATGTCAAGCATGGAAAACATCTGGGTTCATACAGCATAAAAGTTTATTTGTATAACACGTTTATATAAATTAAATAAATTAAATAAATTAGTATAGGCTTGATGTTTATAATAAATGTTGTTTATAACAAATGCCACTATAATTTATGTTTTTCATTCCTGTTCTGAATACCTTTATATTTAAATGATTTTTTTTTTTTGAAGTGAGCAGAACTAAAGTACATATTTCTAGTGTTTTTAATGTTTGCAAACGTTTGATTATATTTACCAGTATTTTGTAATAATAAAATGTGACTTTTAGACCGGTGTAACTTATTTTTTTCTTACCATGCAATTTTGAACCAGTGCAACTTATTTTAAAATTAAAATTTGCTCTATGTGACACCTCTATGACTTTTTGACATTTTGTTTCAGTCTTCAACCAGAGTCTAAAGTTGAGGGTTCAGCAGGTCAGTCAGTGCCATCAGAAGCTGGTCGCGGGAGTGATTCTGAACTGGACAGGTACACATAAACACAGATGAGAACTGTACGTCCAGTGATGTTGCTCACTGATAACATTTCTCTTGAAATGACGTCTCTATTCTTCTTTAAGTGATGATGATCTGACTCCATATGACATGTCAGCTGATCAGGAGAAGAAGAAATCAGCGCCTCCCCGTTACGTCAGAGACTGTCTGGAAGGTCTCTCATTACATATTGACTGGTTACAGTCAAAAAGTGTTATTTTAGTATTATTTACACAATATTACAGTTTTTATTAATAGCTTGAAGTATCTTATATTATTGTACTTTCAATTTTAACTAATGTTTTTAAGTAATATTGTTATGTGTACATGTCATTTCAATAAGTTTTTTAAAATACAATTTAGGTTTATTTACTATATATATATATATATATATATATATATAATT